CATCACATGCTAATTAAAACGAATGAGATATGTTAGGCCATGATAAAGTGTTTGCAATTCATTATGCCTATATTCTTTACACTAAAAAATGTAAAATGAAACTACCAGACAATATATGTATATAACATTTCTGTGGGATTTCTACGGTTGCAAATCTCACAAAACGCAATTTATTCAAGTATAAAAGTAAAAACATAAACAAGCAAAATAACATATGTTCATATTGGTAATCAAAAAGACACACAATTTTAGTTTCTTAGCAATGAGCTAGACAGTGCTGTGATATACCTCATAAACATAGAATGACCAGAAACTTACGACAATCTTGTTCATCACTTTGGTCATCACAATCGGCATATCCATCACAAGAAAAGTTTCCTTGGGCTAGAACCTGTCCATTGTCGCACACATAGTACACTACAGCAAAACAATATAATATTTACGGCTTGATATGTACTTTGAATTGTGCACTCACAATTGTGTTATAACTTTAATATGAAGTCGTCATGCAAATCTCTTATCCGTGCGTAACGTCTTTGCTATAACATGTTACAACAATAATGAATTCGTATAGCATCATGTTGGATGAGGAAAATGGTCAATGCCAATTCGGCGTTGGTCATCGCACCGCGTAATGTTCTATGAGGGATTCATAGCGACGTATACAACGCGTGTAAAACACTTTGTTTATATGAAACTCGATAACGCGCTTTGCGACGACCACCACCCCTTTCACCTTAATTCACCTGATTCGTGTTGATGTATTGGGCAACAATGAAAACATTCATTAAATGTGCCAAACTTTCTGTTCGATTAGGGTCTATGGTTAGACAGCAATGAGTAACGCGATCATAATAGGTTGTCTCCGCATTTTGTTTATGTTAAGAAAAATAATATTATGCCACACCAAACACATTTTGCAACAAATTGATGCTATGAAAAATAAATAAATATACGATGAATATTTTATTTTTTACATTAACATTTTAAAAATATGATCTGAAGTCTGCCATAAATAACATTAATAATATTACAGTTTCGTCTGCGTCGCTAATTATCCATACGTTGACAACAACAAATATTTGCATGCTATGATGTAACTCACCACAATTATTCTCATCACTGTTGTCACCACAGTCATCGTAGTTATTACATATGCCTTGCTCAGGTTTACATAAACCATTATCACACTTGAACGCGCCTACATCGCATTCTAGAAACATGATGTATCAAGGTTGAAATAAAAATAATTACTAGCTGAGTTTAAACGATTCCCGTCATACAACATCAAAATATAAACGCTACACACAACAACAACAACAA